CCCGGATGAGCTCCAAATGTCTTGCCTCGGTGGGCAGGGGCGGGTCGACGGCCCGCAGGCTTGAACGGTCGAAGGTCAACCGAAGACCAGATCCTTGAAACATCTGCATCTGAATTATTTTCAGTAATAAAATCATCATACTGTAAACATCAAAGAACCATGCGTTCGTTCATGAGTTTTTCTTCCGAACACTGCCATAGTCGGACACGTGGCGGATCTCCCATGATCCTTTGGGTCAGTCATCCTTGAAGCAAACCCAGGAAACGGTTGACCAGTAGGGGTCCGAACAAGAAGCTACTAGTATTTAGCAAAGGGCATCGCTACTAGGAGCAAGACGCTACTTTAGTAGCTCCTGGCATTACTACTAGTAGCTAGAAGCCATAAGAAACGGTTTTGCTTGAAGCACCAAGGACCAATTGACCCGTTTTGACCAGTGGATTCTGACCAGCTTCGACGCCGAGCAAAGACTGTCAACAGCTTCCGCAAAGCAGCTTCCATTCGCGTTTTGCCTTGTGCAGGATGATTTAGATCTTGCAGCCAAGCCACACTCATCCGCTGCACCAACTTAGTGACTTTCCTCAAGTTCCACAATGTGAGCACGCAATGAGGAAATCGCCGGGGGGGCCTTCATGTGTTTCGCAACGCGTGCTACGCATGCGAAGGGAATCAAGCTCATCCACCAAATCTTTTGGATTCTTGTGGCATGATGGGCCTGCCGTCCTCAAATTTCGAAAGCCCTGAGATGCCGCTGGTCCAGATCCGAACATGTCTCCGGGATTCTGGCACAAAAACCGGCCACCACCCGCTCCTATCCCAAACCATTCCAAGGAGTGGACTAAACCATCCCAAGGAGTGGATTTGTCCAAAACGAGCCTGGCCCAAAAAGGGAGCGCCACAAACCCTCCGAGCCCGAGAGGCTCATCGTTGCTGCTCGTGGTCTTCAAGGCCGGAGAGGCCTCGCCGTGGCTCAAACAGACGGTAGCGCCACGAGCCATGGATTTCACTGGTTGAGGTCGGGATGGGTTGTCTATGAGACGAGGAGAAGGCTCTGCCCATCTTCTTAAGTCAACTCATTTGATCCTGAAGTCTTCGGTTTCATCTTCTGTTCGGCGTGCCACAACCACTCAAAACTGCTCCTTTGGGTTAACTTGCCTAGTGTGATTCGTTGGTTGTCGGTTCCCTGGGGAGTGATAATGTTGATTTGATAAACGCCAATTTGGCCAATCTTCGTCATGCAGGATTGGGCTTTTGGTGTTGATCTCAAAAGAGGTGTTCTCGTCATCCAAGTGGTCAAGTCTCTCCCACAAACCTCAGCCGGAACTAAGCAAGCCATGTATGGCTACATGTGTATAAATATATATATATAGTACAGTATATTGTAATGTAATATGTTTGCAATTTAATATACTATATATAATATAGTTGTTATATGCACTACATGTTTTGTCATCCTGAAGTAGAGAACCAAACATGAGGAAACAAAACCGCGTTCTTAAGTGAAATGCTTGATGTTCTATCTCCAAAAAGATTCGGTTCCCATCTCGTGCCCTGCCGAGCTGCCTTCGCATTCTCAGCTGTGGAAGCTGACTCCTGTTGGATCCAATGCTGTGGAGTTAGTACTTTCTAGGTCTTCGTCTGTCCTCACAGGTGCTTGGGGAGGCCAGCATTCTGGAAACTGTTTCATCATGTTTCAACAACTTTTTCTTCAAACACTCTTTGACAAGTGCATGAACAACAAAACAGCAACGCAAGTGAGTTACTCCCCTCCAAATCGTGGCTGCATAGGCTATAAGTCACTTCCAAATCCAACAGGGGCGTGTAAGTCACTTCCAAACCTTAGTGTGTTGCTTGTGGCTGTTGTTACTGCCAGTTGTGGACTTCACCTGTGAACACATCCCAAAAAGTACCCAACTTTGCTCCATTCTGGGTCCTGTAGCCTTGTCATCACTGACCTGCCTCGTGGTTTGCCACCCAAGCCACCCCCCAAAAAGATTCTAATCTAAAAAACAACAAGTAACGGCCCCAACCACCCCCCCACCCATCAGTTTCAACCAGCCAACTCATCATCTTCGCCCCATCCCCTCTTCCAACACTGAACCCACCCCTCAGCTTGGCCCTCGAGCCGTGGAAGAACCTCGGAGAAATCAAACGATTGAACGCCGCTTGAAGGAAACAAATATCAACAAAAACGCTTTACGGGATGATCAACACTTTTGTGTGAAACTATGGAACATATTTCATATTCCATATGTACAATATGAGTCCCCTCAAGTTATGATATATAACTCTGTTAACTGGGAGGACACATGTCGCAAAGTACTGCTGAGCTGAACCCTTTCAAGAACCGGATCGCCCCGGCGGGGTAGGGACGCCTGGGAGGTCTCTCCCCCATTGAAGAATGCCCGCTCATACGGCTGTGGGGAACTAGGCACAAGGAGACCGGCCGGTTGACCTACCATAGGTGAGGTGGTTCGCTAGATGGTGGACTGGTTGGGCTCCAGGTTGAACGACCCATTTCCACAATACCCTCCAACCGCATCCTCAGGTGGTTGAGGTGGCTTCTGAGGATGTGGGCCAGGAGAGATAGTGGCCTAGCCCTCGGACGTGTTCACCATGATTGCCGTCCGCACTGAAGGATTTCATGGGGGTATTGGAAGCTTCCATACACAGTCATCGGAAAACAAACCGTCTTCATGGGCCACAAACCTGAGAGAAGAGGATGATGCTCACTTACAAAGCCTGTAAAAAAGGTTGGAGAAGAACAGCGAGTTCATCCTGATGCTCTTCGAGTAATAAGTCATGTTTGTGTTTTCCTAGTTTGTCCTCTATCAGAAGCGGCAAAGTCAGAGATGCAGTGCCGTTTCCAAGCAACAATGGAGGCCAAGGTCAAAAAGCTACCACGCCTACCCAAGAAACCAAAAAAACACATGGCTGTGGACCTTCTGCCTAAGGGCCACAGTTCTTCACCACAAGCTCCGCAACAATCATGAAAGTGGATGCATGGGCCCTTGGATAGCTTTGCATTGGATGACCATGAAAGCCTCGACAAACAGGTGGTGAACTCCACTTCCGTGTTTGTTGGCGCGCAAGTACCTCACACATTTGTTGAGTTTCCCGGAACTGAGCTCAGCGCTACACCTCTGGACGAACTCTGAGGAGAGTAACATGCATGGAAAGCAATGTGTCTGCGCTGCAGGTTATTGCGAAATTAGAGGAACATGGAGAATCAGATGTTCTGCTGCTATTCTTTGTTTTTCTATTTTTTTCTTTTTTTAAATATAGTTGAACATGTGTCGCAATTATATAGCTGTTCTATGCTGTTCTGACGTTTGAGTGTAGGCTGTAGGGTCCTAAGCTGTATAGAGGCAGCAAACCCTCAAGCGGGTCCTAAGCTGGTTGGAACGCTAGTGTTCACGTGAAATCTAGATATATATAGTCCTGTGTAGTCCTGTGGAAACGACGTTCGCTGGTGTCCTTTCTCCATCTTTGAACATCGAAACTCTGCCGTTGGATTGCACAATGGCGACATGTGTCGGTGTCAAAAGCAATCAAATGGGTTTCACAACGGAACCGTGGAAGCCATGAGTGGCCAAAAGAATATGCAATTTTGCAATATGTGCCCACAGGAATAAAACTACCATTTGCTCCAGGAGTGAAAACCAACACATCATAGTACCTCTTCACAGGAAAAACCCCCTACAACTCACTGACGAACACATCAAATACATATGAGCGGAGACATTTATATTTTAACGCACATACACTAACCCCGGATGCTCCATGGGACTGCCATATATGCCGATCAATTGGGGTGGTTTGGGGGGTCAATGTATGCATATATGCCAGTCCCGTTTGCATGGGGGCCATATCTCGTTCACCAGCGAATACTGATGTTGGACAAAGAAATTGAGCATGCCGTAGGCTACATTTGTCAACACCAAATAACAGTGGTCGCTCATATGACCAGAAACTTGAAGTAATTATTTCATGAAACATTTAGCATCTATCAGCAGTTTTGTGTTTGCATCGCCCCCAGCCAGAAAGGTTTGCCTTCTTCGCTGTTTGGTTTTGCTGTCACCACCAACCACCAGCACCACCACGACCTGTACGAACCAGCGTCACTTCGTTCCACACACGGAACCGTGCGCAGACCGTCTTGATATTTCAACTGCCCAAATGTACGAACCCAGGAGGGGGGGCTGAGCAGCGTATCAGCGTTTCTGTTGTTATTTTGTTGCAGCAAATTTGTTCTGTTTGGAGAGCTGAGTAGCGTTGGTTCATGTCGCTCACATCCCTGTTCAGCAAAGGCTATTAATGAGTGTTCATTGTTCAAAGATGTTCAAAGCTATATTGTTGCTGTAGGAACCCTATGTTGTTGTTGTGTTTTGATTAGTGATGTTTCAACCTTCAACCTCGCTGTTCATTGGATTTGCGATCTGTGCTGAACCAAGAAAAAGGTCAGGGAAGTAGAAAGAAGACGACACCATGGTGTCCAAGGAACGTATTTTGCAACATCCAGAAACCTGTGTTCTTCCGGAAATCCACGAAACCTTGTCATGAAACACCACCCTTGTTTTACAAACTTCACGATGTTTTGCGCACTCTGCAGAAAGTCGTCTAGAAACCCTGCATCTTCAGCATCTTTGCATGGGGTATCAAGCGAATCAAACAAGAGGTATTTCAATCAAATGTACATTGTTGGTTTTTCTTGGTGGCTTGGACTCGTGGGCCAACTGTATCTATTTGGAAAGGCATCTTCGGCATCTTCCACAAACATGGAATTTATCACGCGTGACTTCCAAGCAACTTGCTCAAGAAGCCTCAAAAGATTACTAACTCCAGTAAATCAAAACATCATGCGTCAGCAACTAGGCTACGGCGTGGTTGTTGACTCTTGGGTGTTTCTATAGGTGTTTAAAAGTGGTAAGTGGTTTTAAGAAGAGCTTCCTTAACTAGACATGTTGATGTTATTATAACAGTGTTTAACAGAGTGTGTAAAAGTGGGACGCTTTTTACAAGACTCTGCACTCCATCCTTTGGCGTTCTCGGTCACCCTCCAGGCTCAAGTCGTGGGACACTTCGTTTTTCTGGTCTCATGGATCTGGATTGATGACCAGCGCATCGCCGCGCAGGGTATCGATCGTCCGGAGGAGGTTGCACCTTGGAGGTTTGCACGGTTGCACACCTCGTGTATTTGGAGTGTGTCGTGCCGTGGACGGTGGGTGTTACGTGCAGGGAGAGTAGACTGAAATTGAAATTGCCACACAAACTGAAGTAGAACTCATCGAAAGGAAAAGCACGTGATTTTCGGTGAAACAACCGATTCACCGTTTTGGAATCCGCACCACGTGAACCCGTGTCCTTACGGCCCGTACAAGAAGCGAGCGTAGGCGTAGGAGAGGAACCGGAGGAAGAACACCAGCAAGTTGAAACGGTTCTGGCACAGAAAGGGTGTTTCAAGATCTCCTGAGTATACAGTATGCCTAATAATCACAGCGCGCAAGGATCAAGTGATGCTTTATATCTTAAGTGATGCTGGAACATGATAGAGACCAGTGCCGGTGAGAAGTGAAACTGCCAAGTATATAGTAATGTTATGCATAAGTAATCCTGGAGTAGAAGATTATGTGAACATCCAAAAACAAAGGGACACAAAAAGCCTTTTGCCCCAACTCACCACAGACAGCGCACCAACTCCCTGCAGCCAGTGCCCATAGTGCCCAAAGAGAACCAAACGTTTTACCAAAGCACGCTCTTCACCTTGAACCCAAGGCCCTGCCACCCAGGTGGTCTTTAAACGTGACGGGGATGGCCAAGTACGCCATCGGAAGCTGGCCTCAGCAGCGGGGATGCTGGTGATGCCCTCGCCATCTTGGCACTCTTTTGGATCTTCAGGCCTTTAGGCTCATCATAAGGCTTGCACCAACTCCTTCAGGCTCAGCCTCATTCAAATCGTCAAGAAGAACCTGACACCTTGGCTAGGTGTGCAAACACCTTGCAACATCTGCCAAGTCTAACCCCGATATCCCTCATGGACGTAGTTCACGAATTTCGCACCAAGAATTACCTTGTCCCACCAAAACCCGGAAATTCCATCTTGCTCCTTACCGTCGAAGGGACTGCCGACCATCCAGCGACCCAGGTCATCCGCCCGGGTGACCCAGGTCTCCGCACCTAAGGTGCCAATCAACGCGACCAAAGCAAACCTCCCATGCGAACGAGCGAGCGACCAGGTTTGTGGGTGATGTTGAATCCAGGACCCGAAGGAGAAATGCTCGAAATGGAGGATTGCTGTGGAAGAAGGTTGGTGTCTGGTAAGACTTATATATATATATATATGTGAAACTCCAAACAAACATGAAACTGACATATATAGATCATATGTTTTGTCTATGAAATAGGTTGACTTCAATGAAACACATGAACTGATTCATGTCAATATGTGTCATCCGTTTTGTCTACCTCTTCGTGCAACCTGCCAATCCCTCCCTGCAGATTTCAGGCATGCCCTTTTCATTCAGGAATGGTGGTCCCTCAAGGGTCCTATGCACCTGTTTCGGCCACCTTCCTTGTCAACTTCAGATCCCACAAAGGACCCAGAGTGGTCCTTTTGGCCGGCAGCGGACGTTGGCCGAGCTGTGCCACAACAAGCCCCGTGGTCATGATTTGAGATAGCTCACCTAGTGCTCAAAACCAGCAAGTGTTTGTGTTTTATCGTATTTGTTCCAGCTACTTTCAGCTGTGCCTGGCGTACAATGCTGGCTTCGCCAGACAAGCGCACACCACGCCTGGGAGGTGGTTGGGCTGGAAAAGCACTCCAATAGGGCAACTGGGTTCGCTCTTCCATCAGAATATGTTCCCAAATGTTCACATCAACTGCTGAGAGGGTCTCTCTCTATATATATATATACTGTATGTACATATATTGATATGAAAACTCAACTGTATATTCAACATTTACAAAATCCAAAAATAATTGAGTGATTCTCGCCATGGCATTTCGGGTTCGGCGGTGTCCACTGCACTCTAGTGATGAGTGTGGACCCGATATCTTCTGTCAGCACTTCCGGCACCCTACTTGGCACACCTCCCGCATTCTTTCTGGCACGCTGTCTGGCATACATGTTGAAATATAATCTGGTTTTTATGGTGACGACTTATCTGGCATCTATTCTGACGTTGTAATTGACATCTATTGTATCATTCTATTGAAGGGCATCTATTGTGACATGCTACTTTGCATGTATGGTGGCCTTCTATCTGACACATATTCTGACACTCAGTCCGCCATCCTATCTATAGCATCTATACTGGCTCTTCTCGCGCATATTTTCTGACAGTCTACAGTATCTGGCATACTGGCATTATAATTGGCATATATTCTGGCCATCTATCTGGCATATATATTCTGGCATTCTTTCCGACATCAGCGAAGCTGGCTCACTGCAATCTGGCACTCGTGCTTCAGGTCCGGCGGTGCCCACTGAGCTCCCCGGAAAAAGGAAGGAAGGAAGGAGCGCCAGGAGCGCCAGGAGGATGAGTTGACAGCTGAGATCAAATCTAACAACCCCACCAGGGAGGTGAGAATAAATCAGTGACACCAGCAGGACTCACAAGGGGTTTTAGTGGGGGATAGGAGTGCCTCACTTAGCAAGGGACTCAAAAACCTTTCGGTTTGGAACTGTTGGCATTCTCCAAGTTGGACCCCCCCCTGCTGACTAACATGGACCCTGAGAAGAAAGACCCGTGTAGGGTGGATCCATTTCCTCAAAATTTCTCAGCGGTGTTGAAATTCCATGTGGTTTCATGTGCATCTGCAGAAGAAGGTATTCTTGGTCGCCTTTCTTTTGGGCCGAAGCAGCCCGGGTCAGGGCTGGGTCAAGAGTCCCACGAACAACGACGCATCGATCGTCCAGAGTCCATGAACAGAGGACCTCTGAGAGCTGTAAAGCCAGAGGGACGTGTCATCCACCTCGTATCAAACAACTCTTAAGACCCCAGTCTGACCCTACTCATGAACCATTTGTGTGCAATCTGATCCCCCAAAAAAAACCTTTAAACAGGTGGTTTGGAGTGACGGCATGGATGCGATGCTTCTTTTTGTTGCCAGGTCCAGTAAAATTGAGATCCTTGACCTGTAGGGAGTGATTTCTTGGAACATAAAAACACACACATTTAAAAACTGTAGGTTTCGGGTCATGATACTTTCTTCCAACCTGTATAGGGGTCATGGCTTGGAAAACAAACACCAAAAACAGCTGAACCACGGACCGGTTCTTCCGTATCAAAAAGAACCACGGACCGTGGAAGGTCCCAACTAGGTGATGCGAAAGCGGCAATGCCAATGCCACTGGAGAAGCGATGTATCGCTCCAGACATGACAGTTCTCTAAGTAGTGTTGGGGGTCTATAGGTATCCGATCAAAGTTGAATTTGAAAATCGTCAATCAATCATCATTCAAAGGTCCAGACAGATTTGACATGTCCTGTCTTTTGATGTACTCAAGGCCCCTTCATCTTCTTTCCTATGTCCCCCAGTTCTTCCTCACCGTTCTTCCCTACCCTTCAACCTGCTGGGGTCATTCTTTTTGTCGAGAGCCAAGTCGCCAAGGCCAAAAAAGGCGATGGAATAGCTCGCCTCGCCTCAGTTCGGGTGGGCCCTGTGATAGGGCGAATCGCGGACATCTCTCGTTGACTCACAGTGAGTAACGCAGTTCGTTTCGCGCTTCGCTGGGAGTTTCGGGGCTGTTTTGCTTCGGGTCCGGTCCCCATCCTGGAGGCTGAAAAGGAGGCTCCGGGGCTTGAAGATATCGAACACGTCGTTTCCAGTGAAACAAATCAACTCACATTGCTGCATGGGTGATATACATGTTTTTGCACAAACCTCACAAGTCGGGACACGTTGGAAAGAAATGACCGATCTGGCATTGATTATATACATGCGTGGAGTCTCAAGGTACCTCGGAAGACGGGTACAAGGTACAAGTTGGGGTCATGTCCCATTTTCAAAGGTACGTTCGAGGGTCCAGGTATACGTTCTTCTAGTTCGCTGGCTGACAACAACGTGTGCGAGTTTCTGCTGAGGTGCACGTGTTCGACAGTTGGAGATCTGGCAGTCCATCTGGACCACGATTTGTCGTTGCTTCACTGAAGCACCGCTTGGGGTATTGATTTCTTCATACCTGGATCTTTTCTTGGATGAAAACGCAGAAACATTGCACGCCAGTTTGACGAAAGTTCTTCTTTTGAGGAGTCTAGGAGTCTAGGGGTTTAGATGGGTAGATGGGTTTAGGGAGGTGATCTGAGTTGGAAAAACACTTCAACAAGACTGCAGCGAACACCTGGACCCCGGGACAGTTTTGGAGTATATAAGTCGGTGTGGCTTTCAACCCGCTGCTGGGGTGGTCACACCCGAACATCTTCCCCACGATCACTTCAAAGGCACCGGGAGTAGAGATAAACCAACCAATATTTACCAAATCTCTGTTCTCATGGTTCACCACATCTGATGCCAAATTTCACCACGTTGTGAGAAAAACCATCAGGTTCACCAGATCCCACTCCTGCTTTGTTCTCAAATCTCACAAAGAGTGGATCTGGTGAACCTCATGTGCTTCGCCCGGCTTCGCCGTCCTCTTCTTTGGGCCCTTGGAAGACCGACTTCACACCACCGACCGACTTTTCGAAGTAGCAAGGTCCAACACCTGATGGGTGCATGTATTTTGAACAACAAGCAAATTCCTTTTCTCAATTATTATCCCCCGCACTGTGTGTGCGCGCGAAACTCTGGTTTTGCACCATGTTGACTTTTATTTTGACCAGCACAATGGTGTTTCAAAATCTCTCATCACCCACCATCTCGGTCCCACCTTCCCCCCCGGCCGCGTCACCGACGTTTTCCCCTCCCCCCCACCTGCCCACCCGCCCACCCGCTCCCGGGTCCACGGGTCCGTTCTGAGGCTTTGGACCCACAAAGGCCAACCAATGAAGTGATCGAAGAGCTGGCCGAGTCCGGTCGTCGAGTCGAGTCCGTACTCCAAGGGATCGGCGGACTCGATCCGTCTGTGGTCCGTTTTTCGAGCTGGCGCTGGCAGGGGGGATCTTCATGAGAAGATTGAGAAGGGGAGAAGGGGGGTGCCTTATAAGATCCTTATAAGGGCCTAGGGCTAGGGCATAAGGTGAAGGGCATGCGGCATAGGTGCACTTCATAGGGTGTGTGCTGTCTTTTTGGGGGGTCGGAAGCGGTGTGCGAGCGATTCGGAGCCGACCCAGTGATCGAGGACGTGTTGTTGCAAAAACGACAAGAGGATTCGGACCCAACTGTAGGGGGACCCTGAGGGACGACGGCGTCGGGACCCTAATTGCATTGTGGGCGGCATAAGACAGCACTTTTCACAGAATTCTACAGCTGGCAGGCGACCACAGCCAAGGTCCACCAAGCTCCAAGAGTGTGGTTCCACAGTGTTGCTCTCCGGAGGTAGGTACCGTTTCAGGTATTCCAATGGTTCCAAATACTCGAAATGGGATAGGAACTCCATGGAATTCTAGATCCTTACAGTACATAGTATCAAGATGCACCAACTGGGATGCACTTGGTTCTGACAACAGTGGCCAGGAGCACTGCTTTCAGCCAGGTCTGGATAGATCAATGACAGCTCCAGCACCGCGTCATCCTCATACCTGGTGATGTCAGGAAACCAACCGGTGTGAGACCCCTTACAGTACTGAGCAATGATGTCCTGACTTGGGAATCACAGAGAGGTCGCATGCCAGGTACCACATACTGAACTTGTTTGTTCACCACCGGGGTATCCCCTCTATTACAACAAATTGGTAAAGGCTATCTATGATTCTAAGCTGATGTCTTTAAGCACAGTTGAATTACGTGCATCAGCGATTTCACAGCACTTTCGCTGCATCGTGCCACTCATCTGAACTTGCCGGTCACCCAATTGGTGTCTCTGGTATGGGGTCTAGAGTCTATCATCTACTACCCTCCTTTGACCAAGCCCCATGAGGTGTTCGACACACTGAGGGGCACTGGAGCTCAATGTACTGGAAGGTACAAACCGCCAGCAAGTGCGTCAGCTGAGCGTCTTCGGTTTGTTCGAGTTCCTTTCCGTCTTCCCTTTCGTCGGCGACGGAGCAGCAGGCTACGTTAGAAGTAATCCCTCACTGGTATTCCCCAAACATGTCCAAAGCACGCAAACCCAGTCTGAATGGCTTTTGAGAAAAAGAACGCACTCCAGAACCAGAGTTTCGACCACTCAAGAATGGCAGGCTCCGACCAAGTCCCCCAGAAACACCCATATTTTTTGGCATATCGTTTTAACGGATGCGTTGAAAAGGATGTGGGTGTCTTAAAATAGGGAGACCTCCCAGTTCGACCCCCTCCAAACAAGGAAATAGAGCAGTCTACCCGGTCTACCCATTGGGGGTGGGGGTTTCCATCTTAGAATGCACACCCCATTTCTGGCAGTGCTGTTGGACCCGAGGCACGGACCATCAAGGCCAAGAAGACCGCTTCATGTCGCGCCAAGACACGTACGATATCTGCGCCTGGGCAAGATGTGGGTTTGCGGAGGCCATCGAAAAGGAAAAAGACAATTGGAGGCCATCGCTCTTAGGTTGGAGGCCATCGCTATTAGGTTGGAGGCCATCGCTATTAGGTTGGAGGCCATCGCTCTTAGGT